CCTCCTCTACCTTCGTTGTGTGAATGTTTGCGTGGATTTGGAGCCACATGTATGGATTGGCTACCAACGTATGCCAGAAGTCCCGGCTATAGTCGAAACTCCCGGCCGCTGGATGTTCGGACCCTAGGGCTGGAACTTCCGACCCCCAGAAGTCCTGGCGCCTGCCGAAACTTCCGACTGGCGGAAGTCCCGGCGCTAACCGGAACTCCTGACCTTTTGGTCGCTACTCCATCCATGTTTCTCCATCTCCAAGATCTCGTTCGCCATTCTTTTACCTTGTTTCCTAGTCTCCTTTCACTTTTCTCTGCAGCGATGGCCTCCAGCGGTGATGCCTCTCTTCCCCGTCGTAGCGAGAAGCGTTCCAAGCGGACCCAAGATCCCGCCGCATCCTCTCGGTCGACTAGACGCACCAAGGCGTCACTCTCTCGTGATGCCGCTGGTGGTCGTGGGGCTCGTGCTAGTGCTCAAGCCCAAGCTCCGCTCGTTGGTGCCGCTGCACGGGAGTTCGTTCCCGGTCTTGGTGATGTTCCCGCCGTCGATCCTGCTGAAGAAGCCCTTGATCAAGAAGGCCAGACTATTGCTGATGATGTGTGCATCATGACACCTTCAGCTCCGGGTTACTTTGGGATCAGTCGCTTGATTCGATTCGATGGTCCCACTCCTACTATCTGGGAACCGCAGCGCACTCTCAATCCGGCTAGAGGTTATACCCCTCATCTGCAAGTTGATTATCGTCGACATCTGGCTGAGATTCGTCGCCGTCGTGCCCAACACCTTTATGATGAGCCCAAGGATCAAAGAATTGAGTACCGGTTCTGGGAGCTATTTCATTTTGATTTCTACCATCACTTCATGTTTCTTCGCTTCATCAACAAGCAAGAGGCTCCGGTGATTCAGATGAAGGCTATTGACACCTTTGAGCTTAGCAAGCTGCCTAGACCGAATATGCAACAGCTGCTCCGTGACTTGAGAAGGATGGGGTACAGCCATTGATAGAGTTCCGCAAGTCGTGGAACAATGAGATTATATGTCAGTTCTATGCCTCCTATCACTTGGACACCCGGGCGGAGACTCATTTCATTCATTGGACCACTAAAAGCAAGCACTACAAGGTTGATTTCATTACCTTCTCTTGCCTTCTTGGCTTGGACCGCAGGGATCGCACCTCCACTTCCATTACTGACATTTCCGCTTTTGCCATGGATGAGTATCAGTATATGTATTTGGATGGTCATCGTGCTGATGGGAAGACCATTTGGTTGAAGCCCTACTACTATGTGCTAAACAACATCCTCCGTCAGATCTTATACCCCAAGATAGGTGACTCTACCAATCTCCGTGAGGATTCACAGGTTGTCCTTGATTGCTTTGGAGATGAGTTCACCAAGTTCTCCATCAGTCATTATATTTGGGATAAGATCTTCGTCGCTAGTGAGGATGTGGTAAAGCACTACCCCTATGCTCCATTCATCATGCATATCATTGAGCATGTGTCCGGCATTCACTTCCCTTCCAATGTCCCTCACAAAGTCCTCAAGCTGTCCAACAAGACGTCACTTCAGGCAAAGCGGGAATTAGCGAACCTCGCTAAGGGCAAAGGCAAAGGTGTCTCGAGCTCCTCCTCACGAGCTTCTCTACCACGTGCTTCGCACTCTCGTCGTGCTCTTAGTGAGGAGCATCAGTCCTCCTCCTCCGGTGGTAAGCCCCCCAGCAAGTTCTAATTCTTCATGAAGTAATACGTTTGGAGCTTGTTGTGCTAGTGCTGAGCGTGAGCAAGAGATGCTAGTGAGGATGCATCGTATTGAGCAGAAGCTTGACATTCCCTCCGCTCCGCCTCGGGCCTTGGAGCCACTTCGTGATCCTTTCAAGCTTTATGATGAGGCTTGCAAGGAATACTATGGAGAGTCGTCCGATCAGCCCCGTCCCCATGGCAAATCGCAAATGGATGTCGATGAAGAGGAGTGCCGAGAGGAAGATGACGACGACGACGATGACGATGATGATCATGGTGGTGGTGACCAAGACGATGACGAGGACTACGATGAGTAGTCGTTTCTTTCACGCGGCCTACCCCTTTTGGCACTTGTTGACAAAGGAGTGTTAGGCTTTGATCTTATTGTAATAAGTTAGTTGGTCGCTTAGAGCTTGTGAGACTTTAAAACGTTTAGCTTGTATCGTGTGGTGGCACTATGTGATGGACAACTATATTTGTGTGATAGATGATTATAGGACAAGCAATGTTTATCTGTATATCTATTTGTCTCTACATTTGAATGGTGGATGTTATTTTGGATGGACATGTGTTGTTTCAAGTTGTTACTATGAGATCTTGGTCATCATATTTTCTTTTACTTGTTGTATAACATGTCATATTACATCTCATTTTTTCACGGATATTCACTTGTTCACATACACTTGCTGCACCCCACGGATTGCAAAATTTAGGAGGAGTTTCTATCTTAATATATGCAGGTGATGTGTTGATGATCATCATTGAAATTCAAATTCAATGCATATATTAAGAGGGAGCTCTCTATAAATTTTGGGGTTTAAAAGCTTTAAATTCTTATATTTTTATAAAAGCCTAAGTTGGTTGTCATCAATTACCAAAAAGGGAGAGATTGAAAGTACATTTGCCCCATATGTGGGTTTTGGTGTATTGATGACATCCAAATTAGGGACTAATGAGATCTTAATGAGATATATTGCATCTTTAGTCCCTTAAAAATTTCAAAGAGTTGATTTAAGATGAAATGGTATCCCTCAATTCTTCAAGTGCAAAAGGCGAACGAACCCAAAGCGCGCTTCAAGCATTTTTAATTTTGTTTTGGGTTTAGGTATGCCGTACTATAAAGAGGAATGCAAGTTTAGGTAGTCTGAGGAAGATAGAGTGCTGAAGCATAAAAATAAAATCAAAAGAAAGACACAAAATCACCTCACGAACACTTAGATATAGTTCTTGGACTTTTGGTAGTCGAAAGTCCCGGCGTGAGCCAGGAGTTCCGACCGTTGAAAGTTCCGGCATTTGGTGCCGGAAGTTCCGGCACTTGAGGACGTAGCCGTCAGCCCACCTGCGCTCGCTCGCCCGTCGAAAGTCCTGACGGGAGTCGAGAGTTCCGGGTGTCGGAAGTTCCGGCTCCCGCCGGAAGTCTCGGCGCTTTGGGGCTTAGCCCTCTGGCTCGGCTCTGGGTCGGGAGTTCCGACGTAAGTCGGAAGTCCCGACTGCCGGAAGTTCCGGCTCCAACTGTGTTGACCACCTTTAACTGTGCCTTGAACAGTGTTTTACAGAAGGGCCGAAAGTTTCGGCGATCTATGTCGAAATTTGCGACTCAGATCTGAATGGTCGAATTTCACTATGAGTATAAATAGCTCTCTCCTCTCTTCTAACCGTGAACCACTTATTCATTGCTCACCAACCTTCGTCCCAAACAGCTCCCAAGCATTCAAGGCACGCCTGTCCTCTCCCCTTTGCTCCAATCTTCGAGTCCCGTAGGGTTTTGAGTGAAAGGAGAGTGGATTGAGTGAGAGAATCACTTTGGCAAGCTTGAGCACTTAATTTCTTCGTCAAGCCGATTGGACTTGCGTCTATTACTCTTGGGTTCTTGAAACCATATCCGGCTAGGTGTCGCCCAAGAGCTTCCATCTTGTGGAAGAGCCTTGAAAAGTTTGTATTATCCTTGATTTCTTAGTGAAAAGCTCAAGTAACACTTGTGGTTGCTTTGAGAGAGGCAAGGAGGTGGAAGAGACTCCGACCTTGGTGGTCACCTCAACAACGAGGACATAGGTCCTTTGTGGGGTTGCTGAACCTCGAGATAAATCCTTGTGTCCCGCGTGCTTGTTGTTGTTGTGATTTGTTCTATCATATTTGTTCTTGTTGGTTTGTCTTCCTCTTCAACTCTCCTCTTAGGGTTTGAACTCGATCTACGGAGTGGTGACCTTCCAGCGTCAAAGGAGCAACCCCAACACTTCACCTTACCACTAGAAAGTGGGGTTGTAGGATATCTTTCACTCAAAGTTTATTTTAGCACTTGTAGTGAGTTTCACGTAAGTGCCGGAACTCCCGGCTGTTTGCGTTCCGGCCCAAACAGATATTTGACTTTGAGTTTACGCAGAAATTTTTAGATACGTCTATTCAACACCCCCCTCTAGGCATTGTTTAGATCCTTTCAAGCTTTCATTCTCAAAAATCTGAACAGCTAAATAAGTCAGTGCTGACTACTAGTAGATAAGTATAATTAAAGAAAAGATGCTGGATTTTTTTCATTTCTCATTAGTTATATGCCGATTGTAAAATTTTCCTCGCACAACTGGAAGACACTTCTACACAAACTTTATGGACTCATTCTCATTATATTTGTGAATTCAAAAGCTTTCGAGACAGGGCACTCCCTACAAGGCGTAAGGCAGTAAAGGTCCGATGGCGCAATAGAAAACCGAAGAATAGCATGACTTCAGTCAAGCAGCACCATATAAAACCATATTTTGGCCCTGTTCGGCATGACTTATTACTGCTGCGGCTGATTTGTAGGGCTGATTTGTTGTGAGAAAAACATTGTTCCCATGACTGAAAAGTAGGGCTGATTCTGGCTGATAAGCTCAAGCGAACATGGCCTTTGTTAGTGGATAACAAAATGTCTGAACTGTAAAACCTTATAAGAGATACAAACAAATAAAGAAAGCAGAAAATTAACAGAACTCTATTTGATCTAAGGGTTGGTTAAATTAACAAGTTAAATGGTTGAACAAATATTTGGCTCAAATTTTCAAGCCAAGGCCAGAATAACCAGGCTCAAATTTGACTAACAAAAGTCAAGCATACTTCAAATTGTAGGTTTAACATGTCCCATTCTAGCTCATACTTTGAACTGGGAAACAATTGCCTCCTCACATTTCTTCCCTGTTGATGGATCATCTTATTAATTGAAGGACAAACATATGTATGCCAGCATCATGACACTGAACATACAAAAAAATGGTACTGTAGAAAAAAATTGCATTCATTACTGATTTGATCTCTTCCGTTTAGAAGCACCTGGCATTTTATCTCCTAAATTAGATTTCTTCGCTGCTTCTGATTCCAGTGATTCTTCCAGTTTCCTCAGAGCTTTTAACAACCGAACAAGAAGATAAAAACGGTTAGAATGGGTGTAGCATTAAAATGGATGACAGGTAACTAAAAACCAGCATATTCCAAGTACAGAAGGACCATTATCTCACCACTGGAGAAAGTTGGACGAAGTGTTTCTATTGATTCCTCAGGCAATGAATGAAGACTGCAGCTAGCATTGTCTGCCTTCTTGAGCATTTTGTCAAAAGTTTTAACCTACAAATGATTTGATTCAGCAACCGAGATTGACATAAAACATTCATGCTGGATATTCTAATTGGAAGTGTTTTGGGTATGATGATCCAGTTTGGGTGTTCTTATGAAAAGGAGGCATCTGGTAGTGTCCACTACATAGTTATGTTTCACCCTATAATGGACATCAAAGTGTTTTATGTATTCTTAAGTCCTAAGGTAAATCCGGAAGTTCCCGTGTTTAGTAGTTAGTACAGAGCAGTGCCCCAGTAACATCTTTCTACTCCAAATCATATGATACTAAACTGACACTCACCAGGGCAACAAATACTCAACTTGGAGTTTATGTGTCTAACCCCAGTGATACAGCTGTACTGGGAGTCTGGGATGAGAACGGGATTGCAGATTTTTTTTTTACATATATAATAACAGGCATGTTAATAAATCAACTCACTGCAACTTTTGCATGGGAAAGCTACCTATTATTGTCTGGCAGAGCATTAGCCATTACCTCATGCTTTCTTAAGAAGGTGAAGCAGGAACCAGATTCCCCTGCTCTAGCTGTCCGACCCGCTCGATGTATGTATGTTTTCACATATGGTGGCATATCATAATTGATAACATATCTTAAACCATCAATATGTATTCCACGAGCCATTCTATCCGTGCCAATTAGAACATCGATTTTCCCTTCCTTGAAGGCCTCCAGTGTCTTCCTGCAAGAGAGATTCAACTAATATTATGGCATCGGAATGGTCGCGTAAGATACTAATCTCTATTATTACAGAAACAAACTTGATATTCATCCCTAGTTTCATTAAAAAAATCCATCATTTTCCTATCTAAGATAATCTACTATTTTATCTGATTTGTTCCTAATTCATGACCTATTCTTAATTTAACCTTCCGCATGGGCCTAGCTCATGGTTATAACATCCCATAACTATTAATGTCTAAAGGTGAGAATGAGTTCAACTTCCATGTATAATTCTAATTCACATTCATGTGAACCAAAAAATTATAACCCACAGCAGTACTTAAGTAAGGCAGACCCATGAAGAGGCATCCCCATTCTTTTAATTTTATGATCTTGATCATGGGCTTATTTTTTCTGGTGATTGCTCATGTAACTAGCATGGCCCTGGTGGGCGCTACACGCTAGTTTGTGTGTGGCCAGTATGAGTCATTTTGGACACCTTTTCCTCTTAATATCTGCAGTTCTTCTGTGCGTTCGAGCAGGAAAAAAAATTAATATTGCTACTCACCTACAGCTACAAGGCCAAAACTCAAACGTGAATATGCATGGAATTGTAATGTGGATAGCTTACCTTCGAGTAGATTCACGCTGCAAGCGTGAATATCCACTGAATTTAAAGGGTAAGTTTTCAAAAAAACACAGTAAAGTGCTTAGTCTGTGACTTGATTCCACAGATGAGGTAAAAACTAAGCACTTGTTCCCTTGCAGTTCTTGGAGAAGAACGATGAGAGAGAGTGGTTTTAAGTTTGATTTACAGATCTGCAATAGTAGCAACATAGAACAAATCTGAGTGAGTATGCACCACAGAGTTTCCAACAGTAATTTTACAACTAAGGTAAATGAGCTACAAAGACATAAGAGACAAACCAGTTTGTAGGACTCAAGTTTTGTAGGAATTCTATAACGCTTCTTCCCACTATTCAACAACAAGGGATGGTGCAATTTGAGTTGTGATAGCTTGCTAGGATCTTGAGTCAGTGTAGCAGATAAAACTATCTTCGCCAATCTTGGATAGCATTTACCTTTAAACCCACGCTCCACACCCCTACATGATATATAGTAGGTTAACTAAATCCTAGGCCAAAATATAGAGCACTAACTTAAACTATTAATATGGCAGAGAAGGACAGGATTGCGATTATGAGTATGAAATGTGATCATTACTAAAAGAGGAAAATACACAAGAATGTAATTAGGATTAGGAATTACGATCTTCTAATAGTAGTCAATGGATGAAGTAGAGTTTTCCCATCAATGTCATGCCAGGAATGATCTTGGCCAATTGAGTGTGTAAGTTGGATCACTGTTGGCAACCAGGATTGATAAGCCTCTCTTAACATTCTATCTGTCTCATCAATGACCTGAATCCATAATAAGTGAAATATGACGAGCTAGTAAGTTGGAAAAGTATAGTCATGATAAGGTTAAAGCAGTCTCATAAATGCCAAAACTTATGTTTAGACAAATACTACAGACTGCTGCATTCCAATTTCCAAGTCCAACAATTCCATGGAAACAACAAGGGCAGCATATGTTAAATTGTGTTGCAAGTTGCATGGTTCCAAAAGGCATACACAGCAAGGATCTAGAGTAAGAGGTAATCTGGGAACTTTGCATTGTTACTAACTAGCCCAGGATAAATAATGCATTGATGCCATTATATCATATGCAATGCTGTATACATGAATATAAACCAGGTACAAAGCAAACTGTAAATAATCTGGTCAAAATTCAGTTCCAGTCTTCCAGAGCATAACCTCACTAAATATTTACATGGCATGTTCCTTTCACATTTTTTGTGTACAGTCTACTAAGCGTGCACATACTACAGCAATTTTTCAAGGCTTAAACAGACAATTCCATAAAGGAGGAGGGCAGTAGATTCAGAGGAAACAAGCAGTATCCACAATGTAAGCAGGCAAAGCATTAAAGAGATGCAGAATGAATTATGCAATAAAATTCCAATAAGCCTACCAGGTACTGAAGATGCTCCAGACTGAAACCATTTGTCATGTTAATGTGATCCATCAGTCTTCCAGGGGTTGCCACCAATATATCAATTTTAGTCTGCGGTTCCATTTGGACATATTCTTCATCAATAGTTGGGTAAAACTCTTGTTTGGGCTTCCGGACAAGTCTAGAAACTTCATCTGCTATTGATGATTGACCAACTGCTGAACCTACTGACAAGCCCACCACAGGAGCAATAGCATCAAAAACCTCTTTAACCTGAAATTGAAATAAGAAAAGGCAGTACTTAAATTTGTTAAATGGACTACAATAACATGGATAAGTGTCTGACTCAAATGTTGAAGCATGGATTATAGGAAAGATAAATTTCAAAAAGATGCTGAACTCGCACAAACCTGCAAGGCTAAATCCCGTGTAGGAAGCACAACCAAAGCTCGTAAGCACATTACTTTCCGTTTGCAGAGCATTTGCACAATTGGTAGGGCATAAGCAAGAGTTTTGCCAGATCCAGTTGGGGAGTTGATACAGATATCCCTCTCAAAAGCGCCAGGACCAATTGTTTCCAGCCAAGCTGCTTCTTGAACCGGGAAAAACGATTCAATTCCCATTCTCTGCAAAGCCTCTGCCAGTCTACAATGGTAAAAACAAACCCATCAGACACTCTCCTAGCTTACTTATTTCTAATACATCACCATAATGAAGGGACACTTTCCTAGCTTGATAAATTAACTGCACTGAAAATACATTTGAAAACTTATAGCGAGCGAACCAAAATACTAAGGTAACAAGCCACTGAGCTGAGTGCCACCATGCAACTGCTAATGCAACCTATTTCTACTCAAGAGAGCAGCAGCTCTCAGCGGCTAGTCGATTGGTCCCCGTTAGCAAAAATCATGACATGCGTCTGATTCCAATCAAACGGTGCATTGCAAGCGCTCCTCCTCCTGCCCAGCTAGCGCGGCCCATGTGTCAGTCACTGCTGCCTGTTACGCCCCAAAATATCTCCTTATGCTAGAACATTCCACGCCGTCCATCCCGCACACAGTTGCCTCCCACCTTTTCTCCTTCCCACACCTCTATTGGTGCCCCAGCTCCCATCCCATGGCAGCACATCAGCCTCCCTTCCTCTCACCATGAGGTGTGTCTGGCGGCACAAACCCATTTTTTCAATGTACACCCTGGTTTCTATCTGATCTCCTATTTCCCTCACTCGCTACATCTGCGCCTCGTCCCATCAGCCCAAGCAGAGGCGCGGACAGCCTGCGGTGCTACGCTGTGTAGGGCTAGGGAAGGTGCAGGATGCACAGTGGGGTTCCATGGGAGGTAGGGCTGAGCTGCCCTAACATCGGCGCATGTATGGGGATGGCAGCATGGCCAGCAGGTCCAACGACCTTGCCGGCAGCACACCCACTCATCGCTCTACTCCTCAGCAGATTAGTCATTGGCTATTCAGCATGGTATGTCTCTCCAATCCCAGTTCCCTTCCCGTTGGTCATGGTCAGCAGTAGAATTCCTCCTTTATATTTGTTGTCTTCACTGTTCTTCTCAGGTCTGTTTCTCGTGCTTGCTCTCTTCATTTTTGCAGTAAAATGAGATGCAGAGAATTGATGGGTTCTTAAGCAATGCTAGACTGCAAGGTGTTCCAGATGGATGATGCTGTGGTGTGGCAGTGGTGTGCTGTGGGCAGTAGCGATGCAGAGGATGTGAATTGGCGTTGGTTCACGCCGGTTGTCGATGGCCAGGTTGTGCATGTGCAGCATTGTTTGTTGGCAGCAGGCAGCAGGCAGCAGTTGGCATTAGCAGGTGGCTTGTGGGTGGTGATTTGGGAGGAACAAGTGATTGATTGACAGTGTCATTGCATTGTTCATTTCTGTTTTCTCATGCCAATTTCATGGACCTTTGCGGTTTTGTCAGATTTGTTGGTTGTGCTTGCTCTTTTTTTTCTTTTTTTTCATCAGTTGAGATTCGAAAGAATGGATTCATCTTATTGTAATGTCAATTGCAGGTTGCTCCATATGGAGGATATTGTGGTGTGCCACCAGTGGCTGGGGACCTACAGGTGGTGATGAGGGAGGAGCAGGCGATTGTAGGAAGTTATGCATATCAATAGTTTCATTTGACTGTCCCCTGTTAATACACAATCTCAACTGTAGCTAAATATACCGACTATGTTTATATGGCCTTTACTTCCTGTTCCTACACAATCTCCGTTCTTTGTTAACATTTGCCATATATTTCATATCCATGTGCACTGCAAACGTATATATATATATAAAGGAAGGCTAGATTAAAACCTGAAGGGGGAGGGGAAAGAAAAGGAAGGATGTGAGTTGTTTTTCAGTGACTTGCTTGTCAGTACAGATTCACGATATGTTGTTACAGCGATATCCTGCTCTTGCCGCATGCATATGACAAGGCCTCGAGACAGTTTATATTAAGGTTCAAGTTGAGCTATGAAGCCGCTACTCTCCAGTTTTAGGTTGTTTAAAGGATTATTAGGTCTGTGTTGAAATTCTACAACTAAATCACTTCTATGTTGTTATAATGAAGTGGTCAGATCAACGGCTCTGCTTCTAACGTGGAGTATGGGTTCTTTTATCTAAGATTCCAATGAAGTGGATTTGTACTACCAAGCCTACTAAATTAGGAAGTGACATAATCCTTGCATATGGATAATTGCACTCAATTTGATCGTTTCGACCATTCTTCTAGAGACAAACATACTCTGCCATAATCTTGGAATGCTCCATGCAGTAAATCTATATAGTAAATAAGGACTGATTAGATCTACATATTTTTCTAGGATAATCCTCAAAAATCAAAATAATGTTTCCATGGTGCAGCTATATGGATCAACAATTTCTGATTTACAGAAGCCAACCCCTCTGCAAACTACTCTACTGGCTGCCCATGCAGCGTCATCCTCCTTTTTCAGGTCACCTTGCAACGGCACTGATTCAGTTTTCCATCAACACACGAGCTAATGACACCTGAGTTTTGTTCATGCTCACTTTATTTTTATCATTGCCGTTTATTTAGGCTCTTTTGTCATGCTAGGCCATACACACATTTGATTTTGTCACTACAGTTGAAACTAGACCTAACGAATCACAGAACCAACAATACAGTTTCTGCGTGCAACCAAGTAAGGAAAGCTAAATTCCAAGACCATAAAAATCTAACTCCTCGAGAGTGAACTAAAAAGTATCCGCACTGTAATTCCCCACCCGCTTACGAACAGCAAAATAAAAAAAGGGCGACAGTTGCTTCTGAGCAGCAACCAAAACTAGTTAGTCGCCAGTTGAAGCGATCACGAGGGCAACGCTGGAGCATGGGAGTGCACCTCGGGTCGAGGCGGGGGAGCTGTGTGACGGGGCAGCCGGAGAAGGTGTCGATGTCGACGGGGTACCGCATCCACGGCAGGTGCGGCACGTGGTCCGCGGGCCCCTCTTCCTGGTCCTTCCTCACCATGGCCACCATCAACGACTGAACCTACCTCAGGCGACTATGACAAATCGGAGGAGGAGTCGAAGCCGGCGAGGAGCACAGGTGAGAGGCGGCGCGCGCGGGGGGAGGGGAGGTGGCTGCGAGTCTGCGACGGCGACGAGCCGTTTGCTGGAGCTGCGAATCGGTGGCGGCGTTGCGGCAAACTAGGGCTCGGAATGGACCGTGATGGGTGGGCCGGTGGGCTGCTTTCAGTTGGGCCCCGACCGTTCCACGCTTCCACGCGATGGCAGTTACAAGGATTTCCCAGCTTTTGTTAAAAAAAAATAGTCCGCGGTTGCCTCTCAACTTTAGCAAAAGTCCATTTTTTCTCTCTGAACTCTAAAACCAGACAAAACACCTCCCTTAATTTTTAAAACCGTTCATCTTACCTCTTAACCATGTTATAAGCAGTTTTAAAGACAGTTTTGTATTTTTCTTTTTTATTTATTTCGGTTGAATCTTTAAAAAATAATAGTAAATTATAGAAAAATCATAAAATAGAAAATACAATTTTATTGGACTTCACATAAGTAGATCTACACAATAATAGTACAAAGTTTTTTTTTCTGTAACTTTAGATCTATGCTTTTATATAATTAATTAGAATAATTCATAGCTACAGTTTCTATGGTCCAATTGTGATAAAATTTTTACGGTGGGCTAATTATTGTATAATTGAACTATAGTAAAAATTTCATACTCATTCGATCATGTATAGCTTAGTTATAGATTTATTTATATTTAACAAGCATAAACCTAAATAAAATCTATAACTAAGTTATACAGTTATACATGATCCAATTAATATGAATTTTTTACTAAAATTTAAGCATACAATAATTAGTCCAGTATAAAAATTTCACCATAATTGGACCATAGAAACTATAGCTATGAATTATTCTATTTAATTATAGAAAAACATATATCTAAAGCCACAGCAAAAACTTTGTACCGAAGCATACCATATTATATGTTCACTGTGTAGATCTACCCATGTTGAGTCCAACAAAATTAGATTTTCTATTTTATGATTTTTCTATGATTTACTATGATTTTTCGAAAATTCAGCCGAAATAAAAAAAAAGATAAAACTGCCTTCAAAACCGCTTATAACGGGGTCAGGGAGGTAAGATGAATAGTTTTAAAAGTTGAGGGAGATGTTTTGTCTGGTTTTAGAGTTTAGGGAGGAAAATCAGACTTTCGCGAAAGTTGAGGAGGTAACGTGGTTTTTTTAAAAAAATACATAAGGAATTCACAGGTAACCTGGGGAGGCACGCCGCCCGCCCGCCCCAACCCACGCCCATTTCATTTTGCCACCGCTCACCGACCACCTCCTCAACCACCGCTCGCCGGGAGAATCCCACCGCCGCCGCCATGAGCGAGATGAAGCAAAAGCAAGGAGGAAACGACGACGACGCCTCGCGTGGCCCCCCGCATCCTGGGTTCGTCGGCGGGCTCTGCTTCCTGTGCAGGGCGAAGAAGGAGGATGCGGAAAGAGATGCTCCCGGAGTCGTAGTTGGTCACGAGACGATGAAGTAAGGAGGAGACGGCGACGGCAACGAAGACGAAGTGCACTGCGTGAAGGAGGAGGACACGGAAGGAGGTGCTCCTGGAGCCGCCTTTAGGCACAGGATGATGAAGGAAGAAGGCGACGACCACGGCAACGACGACGCCCCGCGCTGCCCCCCGCACCCTGAGTTCGTCTTGGGCCTCTACTACCGGTGTCGGGCGACGAAGGAGGATACGGGAGGAAGCGCCTCCAGAGTCACGGTCGCGAACATCGACAAGGCCCTGGTGCTGCCCTGCTTTGGCGGCGGCGACGAGCATTGCGAGCGCGTCCGACATGGCGACCCTCAAGCGCGAGAGGAAGCTGATCCTCGTCCTGGACCTAGACCACACGCTGCTCAACTCGACGAGGCTCCAAGACCTATCCGCCCAGGAGCAACGCAACGGGTTCACGCCCTACACAGGGGACGAGCTGCACATGGAACTCTTCCGGCTGGAGTACTCCGACAACGTTCGCATGCTCGTCAAGCTGCGCAGACGTTCGTGCGAGGCTTCTTGGAGCAGGTGAGCTCTAGGTTCGAGATGCACGTGTACACCTTGGGAAGATAGGGCTACGCGAAGGTAGTCATCGACCTTCTGGACCTGGAAGGCGTCTAGTTCGGCGGCAGGGTCGTGTCCAGAAAGGAGTCGACCCAGCGGGACATGAAGAGTCTCGACGTCATCCCGGGCGCCGACCCCGCCTCGGTGGTGATCCTCGACGACACGGACGGTGCCTGGCGGGGCATCAGGATAACCTCATCCTCATGGACAGGTACCACTACTTCGCCTCCACCTGCCGCAAGTTCGGCTACGACATCCCCTCCCTGGCGGAGCAGTGCCGGGACGAGAGGGAGCAGGACTGCTCGCTGGCCATGGTGCTGGGCGTCCTGGAGCACATCCACAAGGCCTTCTTCGACGGTGACCGCGTGGACGTCAGGGATGTGATCAGGGAGGTGTGGCGCCAGGTGCTGCCCGAGTGCACGGTGGTGTTCAGCTATCTGGAGGAATATATGGAGGACTTCCCTGAGGACACCCTCATGTGGACGTTGGCCGAGCGGCTCGGCGCCGCCTGCCAGAAAGACGTCGACGGGACGGTCACCCATGTCGTTGTAGAGGATCCGGGGACCCAGAAGGCGCAGTGGGCGCGGGAGCACGGCAAGTTTCTCGTCAACCCGGAGTGGATCAATGCGGTGAGTTTCTGCTGGTGTCGGGTAGACGAGCGAGGGTTCCCGGTGACGGCCCATGAGAGTTGAACGGCGTCACGTCGTGCGGCTTCTGATCCTACTGTAAAATACAGTTAGGATCTCTAGTAGTAGATCTAGGAGGGAAAACCCTTGGATCCATAATAGCACATGCATATCTAAACCTAGAACACTACACCAAGATGGAGATAGGGTAAGGGTGCTGGTGTTGAACCTGAGCCCTCAGAGGGAGTCACGGTTGAGCTGGCCATCTCAGCTTCGGTGATGGAGGCAGCACACGGGCAGCGACGGGTGGAGTAGAGGTTGCACGGACGTCGATGCAGTGCAGACGGACGGCGTAGCAGTGATGACGCCGAAGTCAGCGGAGCTTCCCGTCGCTGGCTGCGCGCCCTCTTAGATCGGTCTAGGGTTTGTCGGTGGGGTTTGCGGCTCATGGCGAACCTCGTACCTCGAGCCGTCGGCCCCCACCTCTATATATAGCGCAGTGCGACGGGGGCCCACCAACCATGTAGGGTTGGGCGCCCCCGATCAGGGCACGTGACCAAGGCCCAATAGGCCATTGGGCTTATTGGTTGGGAGATCACTCTAACATTCTCCCCCTTGATCTCACTATTACTTTTATCTTTAAACTTTAAACTTCAATCCTTTTATCCTTACTCATTTCTTCACAAATGATGCATAGAGGATGTCTCATCGTCACGGTCAATCGCCGATAGATTTAACAGCTACAATGCACGTCTCTGATCTAAAATAGTTACTTTAACTTTTGGGCCCTTTATAGTCCAGGAATCATAGGTTTTCCCTTAAACCCATGCCGGCTACATGTTCTCTGAACACGTTGGGTGGTAAGCCTTTTGTAAGCGGATCCGCGAGCATCTTTTCGGTACTTATATGCTCAAGACTTATCATTTGATCCCGGACTTTATCCTTCACAACATAATACTTTATGTCAATGTGTTTGGCAGCACCACTTGACCTATTGTTGTGAGCATACTGTACTGCTAGATTATTATCGTAGTATAACTTCAGTGGTCTATTGATGTCGTCAACCACCTTCAAACCGGGTATGAACTTCTTTAACCAGTTCACCTGCCTCGTTGCCTCATAACATGCTACAAACTCGGCATACATTGTGGACGATGTAGTGACGGTTTGCTTTGAGCTTTTCCATAAAATAGCTCCCCCTGCGAGAGTAAACACATATCCAAACGTGGATTTTCTATTATCTCCCGCATAATCAGAATCTGAATATCCCACTATATGGAGTGAATCAGATCTTCTATACGTCATCATGAGGCCTTTCGTTCCTTGCAAATAACGCAAGACTTTCTTTACCAATTTCCAGTGTTCTATTCTAGAATTGCTCTGGAATCTGCCAAGTAACCCGGTAACAAATGCCAAGTCAGGGCGCGTACACACTTGAGCATATTGCAAGCTTCCGACAGCTGAAGCATATGGATCCACTTTCATTTGATCGATCTCATATTTGTTCCTGGAGCATTCAAAATCGCCATATCTATCGCCCTTGACTATAGGAGTAGGTGAGGGACTACATTTGTGCATACTGAATTTCTTTAAGACTTTTTCTATGTATGCCTTTTGTGACAGTCCTAATACCCCTTTACTTCTATCTCGGTGAATCTCGATCCCTAGAACGAACGAAGCTTCACCAAGATCTTTCATATCAAATTTTGAGGACAAAAACTTCTTTGTTTCTAGTAGTAGACTGACATCACTACTAGCAAGTAAGATATCATCCACATACAGGACAAGGAAGATAAACTTCCCATTCTTAAACTTTGCGTAGACACAATTGTCCTCAACATTATCTTTAAACCCAAAATTCTTTATTGTCTGATCAAACTTCAAGTACCACTGTCTTGAAGCTTGTTTTAATTCATAAATGGATTTCTTTAGGCGGCATCCCAAATGTTCTTTTCCTTCCATGACAAAACCTTTCGGTTGTGCCATGTAAACATTTTCTTCTAAGTCTCCATTGAGAAATGCCGTCTTTACATCCATCTGATGTAATTCTAAATCGTAATGTGCCACTAATGCCATTATGATTCTGAAGGAATCCTTATATGAGACTGGAGAAAAGGTCTCATTGTAATCAATCCCTTCTCTTTGTGTAAAGCTTTTTGCCACAAGTTGAGCTTTATATCTCTCTATATTCCCTTGAGAGTCAAGTTTTATTTTGTAGACCCATTTACAGCCTACTGTTTTGGCTCCTTTAGGAATTATCTCCAAATCCCAAACTTTATTTGCATTCATTGATCTCATTTCATCTTTCATGGCCTCAAGCCACTTTGATGAATGATCACTTTTCATGGCTTCTTTAAATGAGGTGGGATCATCCTCCATTTGAAATTCTTCAGTGTTGTACACTTCATAATCTGCAGGAATAGCTGATTTTCTAACTCTTTGAGACCTTCTAGGGGCCTCCTCATTTGGCACATTTTCTGTTTGAGGCTGTTGTTGCTCCCCCTCATGTGTGGCAATAGGTTCTATAGGATCCTGAGGAACAGGTTCCTCATCATCATTCATTGTTGCCACAGGTGGGATAACAATAGGTGCTGGCACCACACTGTCTTGTACTGTCGGTGCAGCAACAGCAGGTAGTGAGAAAAATGGCTCATGAATTATTGGAGTGGGTGCATACACCCGCTTCTCTTCAAGGTCAATTTCTCGAGCTACCATGCTCCCCCTAATTATTTCATCCTCTAGGAAGACAGCGTGTCTCGTTTTCACAAACTTTGTATGTCTGTTAGGACAGTAGAAACAAAAACCTTTTGACTTTTCTGGGTAGCCAATGAAATGGCAACTCACTGTTTTGGGATCTAGCTTCCCAATGTTAGGGTTAAAAACTTTAGCCTCAGCAGGGCTCCCCCACACACGCAAGTGGTTAAGTGAGGGTACTCTTTCTGTCCACAACTCATACGGTGTTTTGGGCACCGACTTACTTGGTACTCTATTGAGAATATGAATGGCGGTTTTTAACGCCTCTATCCACAGACTCATCGGTAAAGTGGAGTAACTTATCATACTACGCACCATATCCATCAGGGTACGGTTACGCCTTTCAGCTACTCCATTCTGCCGAGGTTCACCCGGTGTTGAATACTGGGCGACTATACCATTCTCCTGTAAGAACCTTGCAAAAGGTCCAGGAACTTGTCCATATGGGGTATGCCGACCGTAGTACTCTCCCCCACGGTCAGACCTGACTATCTTAATCTTTAAATCATGCTGATTTTCAACTTCTGCTTTAAATATTTTGAATTTATCTAACGCTTCTGTTCTTTCTTTAATTGGATAAATATAGCCAAAGCGAGAGTAATCGTCTGTGAATGTTATGAATGAATCATAACCATCCACACTTTTCACAGGAAAAGGACCACATATGTCTGCGTGAATAATCTGTAGAATTCCTGCGCTTCATTTTGCATCTTTCTTAATTTTCTTTACATACTTTCCTTTTATGCAATCTCTACATTGTTCTAAATCTGAGAGCTCTAATGGAGGAAGAATATCATTCTTAACTAGTCTTTCTATTCTCCCCCTCGAAATATGGCCTAAACGACAGTGCCATAATTTCGACAACGCATCGTGAGCTCTCTTTCGTTTTCTATTTCCATTGTTCGATGAGGATACATTTTCATTCACATCACATACGGAATTCACATTTTCACGAAGTGATAACAAATAAAGCCCGTCTTGTCGGAAGGCAAGACCAACACATTTATTATTAAACAATATCTGACATTTGCCATTTCCAAAATAGCAATCATAACCATCATGGTCCAACTTTGATACACTAATCAAGTTTCTTTGCAAAGAAGGTACATAAAGAACATCTCTAAGAAAAAGTATGAAGCCATCAGCAAGCTCTAGAGGAAGATCGCCAACGGCCTCAACATCTGCTTGTACTCCATTTGCAACTTTAATGAAACTTTCGCTTCTTTGCAAAGTTCTCATCGAACGGAATTCCTGTAATGAATTAGCAACATGAATAGTTGCACCTGAATCAATCCACCAAGTAGATTTTGAAAACTTTACATAAAGGATTCATTTACAAATGTAATGATATTCTCACCTTTATTTTTCATAATCATTTTTAAGAAATCGGGACAATTCTTTTTATAATGTCTCGTCTTCTTGTAGTAGAGACACTGATCTTTATCTACTGGGAATTGCTTGTTCTGAGACTGTTGCATAGGACCCTTTCTAGATGACTTGGAGGAAGAACTATTATTATAGTTCCTTTTCTTATCTTTTAGGTAGTTGACAGTACCACCGTGTGAAACTTTTATTCTTTCCTCCTCCTGCACACACATGGCTATGAGCTTTTCTAAATCCTATTTTTCAGGCTGTATGTTGTAATTAACAACAAATGTGTCAAATTTTTTGGGCAAAGAAGCAAAAATCAAATAGATAAGAAACTCATCCTTGAGTGCCAAATTCATTGGTTTGAGCTTAGATGCCAGATTGCACATTCTCAGTATGTGCTCTCTAATACCACTGTCGCCACCAGAGTACCTTTCTGTTACTAGAGCACTTTCTAGGTACTCTGTGACCGTGTCACAGTCTGGAATTGAGCCCACTATTGCAGGCTCAATTGTATTCTTTATCACAGCCAAGCATTTCTTATTGCCTGTGACCCACTTTCTGTTTTCGAGGTCAAAAGACATCTTTACGGGAGTAAAGTCCCGCTCTCTGTTCTGTCATGCAGCATCAGTCTCATCTGTCTCCCTCACCGGTGCCACAGGTTCTCTGGGGCATGGTGTGGTGACAACCCAGTGTAACAACCCAGAAATCCACACACCAAAAATCACAACTACAAATTTTTTCTTAAAACTCCCATGTGATGATGAGTGACATTGTAGGAGCCAATCCTAAGAGTTGCATTAGAAGTAACCCAACCTAAGTCAACACATAAGCATGGCATATCATTTGTTGATTATGATTATTAAAATTCCAACAAATAACATGTTGCATACATTGTTAATTCAAGTTGTGAATTGGATTTCCATTTGCTTTATGTTGTGCCT